CGGATAAACATATGGTAGAAGTGCGATTTTTTGAAGTTACATTGAGTCCTGGCCAAATTATCCATCTAGCCAAGATGTTTCTACGCCGGACGGAAAACTACTGAAAGGTGAATGGTTTTACAAACATTGTCAAGGCCACGAACGGGCTAATGTGTCAACCTCCTCACAATATATTACCATCATCTGTTCCCTTTAGTAATCTTAGTTACACGTGACGCATATAACTGTTTCTATCATCTGCGATACTGACAATACGATTCTTACTAAAACCAACTACATTCATATCTTATAAAATATCAACCCAGATGAGTAATTTACTACAGTGAAAATTGTATCTTTTGTGGGAATTTGATCTAGCATGTAAACTGGTATGCCTCATGTAACAAACTGTTAATTGGGAGTAAATTATTGTTATTATCATATTTAAGAATGCCGAAACAAAGATTTCGTCAGAATAAAATAAATTGATTTTATTACGTTTACTTCTCGTCAGCTGTTCATATATCCTGTAGTACTTAAAAGCCATGATCACAAAGTGGGTTCAAATTACAAGCAAGAAAACGTTTAGTAAAACGTTGCTTTAACCGTTCATCAGAATAGCATAGCAAATGTGTAAATAAATTTAAAAGACTAAACAAAATATTGTCAGCACATATATTATGTGGCAAAAGAACAGCGATTTTAACAAAACACTGAGGGTCTAGAAATAAGTGGATGTGCAATAACAAATATAACTGAGTGTAGTTCGATTATCCACGACAAGATATTACTAACCTACAATACTGTTAAAGCGAATGGAAGTTATGGTGCAGTTAATTTAAAAGAGCGGTCAACAGAATTCTGGAATGTAATGAAGCAACGTTTGGCTTCCAAAAGTATAAATTTGGTATCCCACAAAGCATCTTCGGGAAACTTCAGATAGTCTTTAAGTAAAATCCCGGTTCCTTATGTCCGCCAGATTTTTAGTAATTGTGCGGCTTAAAATATTTCATCCTGTTTTTAGAAGGCTTTCTGAACCGTCTTCAAAAAATTCCGTGTGTTCCCCACTTTCTGTTCGGCCAGTATAGCTGACACGAAGATATATGTGAATTTACTGACATAGCGGTAACATTAAAAGGGTAGTTATTGACCTTCGATTGAACGATTGACCGTGTTTCACACAGGGCCAATGGTTTGTCTTTAAGGTATGAGGAGGGAATCGGAATCGAGATCACGACTTTTAAGAGTTACCCGCAACTTCAAATATCACGTACCATGTTTTTAACATTGGCAAAATCTTTTAGAATTATTAGGAAAAATAACCATTTGCTACTACAGAGTAAAAATTAGTGTGTCAAGCAAAATGCGCTCAATCTGGTCTCCATAGCGTCACTAGTTTCACTGTGCTTTGTATATATTGGTTTTGATGAAATTTTTAAATAATTCGTCTATAATTTTGATCTCGGGTATTTTCCGTTTCACTGTATTTTGGTTGTGGTAAGTGGCGTCAAAGGACGCTCAAGCTGTCCCAGTGGATTTTTATGTGCTTTTGTGGCATTTGTTAAAATCGGTAAAAATAAGCACTGGAGTTAGTGATAGCATGTAAAATATTATTTTTAAAGAACAAATGCTTATTTAAACGTTTCCCATGGCAAATTAATGCGCCAAGTAGTGAAATGACAGTATCATTAGATAGATGGTTCATTTACGAATGTGAACCAAAATCTTAGTTATATGAGAAGTTTTTTTCTGTTAGAGTCGTAACGTGCTAGAGTTGAAGTACATCATTGTCAGAAACAAGTTTTTACGCAAATATGCTATTTGGAGCAATTTTATCATTTTCTGTAATACGCAGAATAATGACACAGAAATCCGTTATAACGAATGATACAAAGTCATTCACACAGAGATCTGGATTTATTCGTTCGTAACTAGGGTTTCTACACCGGAAACCAGGACTAAATCAATAAACTACAGAGTTCATTGCTTCGCATCACAGACCAAAGTAAAAAGGCTGATATTGCTCCATATATGTCGACTGATTTGAGTTAAATTAAGTCAAATATATTCTTTCAAGTTCCAGTGCACTAAATTAATGTTCAAGAAGAACTAGCGAGTCTTGCCAATTAATTATATAGTCTAATTTTTTGAATAATGTGACCATGTTTATTTGTAATCGTGGATGCTGTCCTACACTTATGACGTTGTACTGTCGTTCACTGTTATACAGCAAATAAAATGCTTACTTTTTATTTAAAACTTGAACATGTTGAATGAAGAATGTGAAAAACTTCAAAACCAATCAAGAATCGGTAGAACTTTGCTTCGTTCTACAGAACGCTTGAGTAACAATAGCACACGTATAACAATTACTAGGATCATCTTGCTTCCTTGTTAACAGGAAGTGGTAAATGACTGTGTCAAATATTGGGATTATCATAATGTGCATTAGAAAAACCAGTTTACTTTGCTTATGGACTGAGGATGGGATAAAAACCAATTCCAAAGGCGGAAAGCAGTTATGTTCAGCAGGTGTTTTTTAAATACCCAAATTTTCTTGTCCGTTTGTGTTTTCACATCTCTAGGTCTAGGATTGTTAGCCACCACTTTAAAGTAGACTACCCTATTCTTATCTTATTCGTTATCTGTATGCTAGATGGCCGAGAAGATATAAATTCAGTGACAACATGAATACCAGTGTTCCTGAATGTATATATAAGTACTTGATACAGCTGAGTGAATACGACTGGACTAAGACTGTGGAGGTATTCAAATAAAACGCTTTTGTGATTTGATTTAGTTTATGTTGACAATGGGATTAAGGATCATCATCAAACAGACCCTAAAACTATGAACTCATAGTGTATTACCAACATAAAAACTCTTTTATTTTGTTTGCTTTGTTGTTTCATTTGCACGTATATGCTATCAAAAAATTTCACTGACCTTATTTTTATTTAGGTAATACCCTCTCTGTAACCTCATATTAATCATACCTTTAAAAATGGCTCACCCTGATATATTCTGTCATTAATCATAATATCATTCGTATTCTTATGCACCCAAATTCACTTCCCAATTTCTGTCTTATCACCTACAAAACTAAATGAGTAACAGTAGTCTCTATAATGTTTGTAACGTCTTGATCTTGCCTGTAAACTGTGACGCCCCCTTGTAACATATTGTTATAAGGAAATAAATTGCTGTTGCTATTATTTGTATAAAGATGTCCTGTGAAATCAAGTGATAAGTTATCACCATTGGAAAGCTCAATTTATTATTTTAATTGTATGTATTCTCCTTGCATTACGGAAGTTAAACAGTATATAATCAAAGCATCATATTTAAAGACGTTTGCTTGCATATCTGGTTTTCGTTCGTCGAAGTGTCTTCGTCTGACGCCCATATAATCCCTAAGTGTTAGAAACCGATGCAACTACACATGTGCATCTTACATAATATTCATCTACTTATCACTTAAATTGTTACTGCCAGTGATCAGCCACTGACAGTCTATTGACTTGTTTAGTGGAGAGGGAAATGAGCAGTCTCATCTGAAGTTGAATGAATATCTAACTGTTCCATCGCAGGCTTCGTCGAGACGTCAATGTAATGATTGTATGTATTTGAGCTAGGAATCCCAGAAATAACGTAATCGGATCAAGAATTACTGGATAACCACAAACGAATGTACTGTATTTAGAATTCGAAATCGAGCATTCAACAAGTACAAAGGAATCATTAGTTCAATCAAACACCACATCCGACACAGCTTAAATTGGAGTCTAGGTGTCTGTAATCAATTGGACGTCTTCCTCTTAAGTTCATCCTGTGTCTGCCCGACATTGTATTGGATAAAAACCCTATTATCTAGAATGCACTCATTAGTATTAGAATTAACAACTGAAATCGGAACAGACTCACACGCCTCCTAAGATTGTATACAATCACCGTATCGGTTGTATGCCGGAACCACTATCTAGAATTTAAAGCACAGATTTCTCAACACTATCTTCCACCACGAAATAATGTTGGATCTTTATATCCTCAATTTATAAATGATGTGGCTTCAGTTAAAACAAGTTTCTCACATTGAATAGAGTAGACATTAGATGTGAATTCGTGATAGGGATAAACAGCAGTTGATATGAAATCATCCGAATTGTAATCAAAATCGAGGTTATTTAGTACTTGTGCTTCGCTTTGAACAAGTTTCCCACAAGAAACAAATACGTTATGAGAACAAATTATATTTAGTATGACAACAAGCTTTGACTGTTCTGAAATAGTTTCCTCGAATTTATTAGGAATGTCATTGCAGAGTAAAGGATCATTAAAAAAATCAGCATCTATCAAGGCTGCATCAGGTTTTCGATCATGACTAGGTCCATTCAACATATTTTCCTTATATTTGCAAGAAATTTCATCAAAAATAAGTAAATTATTATGAAAAGCCATATTTGGTACAATAACATGATAATTCTGACAAACTGATTGATTAGAAACCGTTGTCTCACAAGGATTCGGAGTTTCATTAAACTCCAAACCACAATGTGACTCTACACTGTCTTTTTAAATCGTTGATAAAGATAAATGATCATTATGAATACTCGACTCAGCAGAATCAGAATTACAAGACTCAATATTAGTTGCAGTAAGATGAACATTAGTATTACAGACTGACTGAAAATGTCCAATATCACCACATTTAAAGCACTTAGAATTTCTTTTCCTCTTTTATTGTTAACATACCTAGGTTCCTGCCTGGAGGATTTGGTGATCCCCTGATACTAGACACGGAAGCCTGTTAAGCGAAAGCTTCTTCTATTCCGTCCACAACCATTTGAACCATTTATTTTCACACCGAGTCACCAATTTTTGGAACCTGTTACCCGAAGCAGTGATGTCCTCACCTTCAGTTGATACATTCAAGAGAAGACTAGACACTAACAGAAGCATACTAAAAAAGGAATAACATAGACCGTGGCCATGTACACAAATCTGAATCTGAAACCTGAAACGCGCCGTATACGGTAGTGCCGCTACTAGTCCATGTGCTTCAACTGTGGCAAGTCATATTAACATCGGAAAGTCTGTTAGAATTAGGGTTAGAATTTAGGGTTAAAAGATAATGTCACAAAGCTATTCAGCTTTATAGATGGGTGAGTTTTGTGACAGGATCCAAGACTTGCTATCCTTAAATTCATTAGTTCGTCCATAAATTATAATCTCACCATAATTTGACCGACACAGCTGTGCCAACCTTGGTAAAGGCTGTGGAAGCGTTTGTTGAGATAAATTTAGTGTATGTGCCGTGAGTCCTTATCTAAAAGGTTGTGGTTGTAAAATGTAACGGATTATTCAACAAAAACACAAATTTATGACCATGCAAACCCTGTATAGTTTACTATCTTGCTAACGAACTACTCACGAATTTCTCATAGTATTTGAGGACTGGCTTATTGTCTACTCGTGAATGCTTATCTCTTAAGTATATTCGAAAGTTAATTGCATCAGAAATCAATTTGGTCATATGGTTAGAAAATGTGTGATTTGACTTGGCAAACCAAAAACTAGTCCGTGCATATGTTAGTAACTACTTTCCCACTAATCAAGTCATTCAACTTGAATGTTTGTTGGGTGTTATTTCTTCCACTCTAAGCAGATTCCACCTAATAGTGACTTTTGGAACTCCCAAATGTAAGAGACTGATAGTACAGGTCGAAAAAATGCTTTCGCTCACAAATCAACTGGATGTTCTGATATTAGAATGTATTTATTTCTACCTTAAGTAACTTTTTAAGTTAAATGTTAGGCTAATTGATTTGCGTTTACAATAACTAGTTACTATCAAATGCTTGCGAGCAAAGCTTCGTTGAACGATTTAAAAGCTTGTAAATGTTGTATTTAGCCAATCCCATATCAACACCTTCCTAGTAGAATCATTGTTCTTTTTCTGCATATATATCTTGGTTTGTCTTTATTGCGTAGATATTTTTATATAACCACCAAACATGTTACGCATTTTTCGGCATATGCTTCTAATTTGCTTGTCCTTCGTACGTCCGAAATACGCACTCATAGCCTTCACTTTACCCCGTAGTCATCTAACCTCATCATAGGCAGTTTCTGCCGTACTTATGTTAGAACAACCTCAAGAGGTAAACTTCATCTCTTCCAAAATAATGTTTACGCACCAGACCTTATGTTTTATATGAACAGTACCAGATGTTAATAAATGAAGTCTTCATTTAATATATACTAACAAGCACTTGTAGTCTTTTCACATTATGGGATTTATTATCGTAGTGGGACCAAACTAATTATGAAGTTGCAAGTCAGGTATATTTGATACAAATAAATACTCATACAAATCAAGTTCGTTAAGAATTGAAAAAAATCGCAATAGTTTACTCAATTGTTGAATTTGGCTTTAGTAAAAATAGAGAAACTGTTAATAGTAACTTACACATTGATTCGTTTTCTGTGTTGTATAGATTTGACTAAACATTATTAAAGAATTATGGGTCGTCGTAGACCGATATCACAATGCAGACAGCATATTAAACCTGAAATGAAACAAAATGAGTTGTTCGAAAAGTATTATAAAAGTCTAGGAATCGTTCCTGAGGATGAATGGGCAGATTTCATCAGCTATTTGAAAAGAGATCTGCCTATCACATTTCGGGTAACAGGATTTCGAGATCAAAACAAGGAATTATTACGACTTATCAAACAAAAGTATCGGAAAGATATATCTGAGATGCAACATTATATGTGTGATGAAAAAGATCAGACTAATGGTACTTTTGAATCATTACCTTGGTATCCGAATGAAATGGCGTGGCAACTGAGTGTCAGTAAATATGCGGTTCGCAAAACAGAGGAACTCCGGACGTTGCAGCAATTTTTGGTGTCTGAAACAGAGTCAGGTAAATCAAACTTCTGCAACAATGTGTTCCTCTAAAGCTAACAATTTCCTACTTACTGCTTGTTTCATTTTTAGGAATTATTGCTTTTTCAAATAAACTATCTTATGGAAATTGATTTACATCTCTGTACAACGAATCGTCATCTAATTACTCGTTCTTGCTCAATATTAGTAGTTGCCTTGCAGTTCTCCCTACTGGTTTAAATTTAAAGCAGTTTGTTATTTACGTACAAATGACATTGAACAACTAAACCTCAAACTACGATTACACCTGAGTTCGAAAATAGACTGTTGAGAAACCAAGCTTTAAATAAATTCGAAAAGAAGTCTAATTTTGAGGAGAATTATACTAAATAAAGCTGTTTGTGACAAAAAGAAGAATGGGTCTTTACCGTCTTCGCCGAGCTGTCTCTTAAGAGCTTGACAGTCCACCTTGCGAACCCCAACTAGGACTTAAGCATCCCTGGTTCATATTACGTTAAGTCAGTAATTTTCGGACTGGCGCCTTTATTTAATCTTTCGACCACTAGCGTTTTTTAATATACTCGCCTTAATCACCCCAAAGCCCCACAACTGAACCTGCATAGCATATGTTTTAAATACCTTAGCCAAATCTAGGTCCGAACCTTATCAACCAAATTAAAACTACCTCTTCATCCCGAACCACTACTAACCAATTAGTGTTTTCGCCACTAGCAAGCGGTGCGTTTAATATAAGAACTATCAAATGCCTTCCGTCTATAGATGTTCTCTACCGTCCTAAAGTTTACAGCCGTATGGTAGCACAACACTCGTGGTTTTTTGACAGGAAGACACATATCTCACCTTTTAGTCAGAAATAACATTTTTTGTGCAGGGACTTTGTCCGTCACAGAACTACCAATCTGGTAAGACTCGGTATAGTTAATGTGATCGATGCCCTCGACTAGTTCAGTCTATAATGCATAAATGAATATTATTTCGCACTAGTTCTAAAGTATTAATGTGCGTTTTGAAAAAGATGACTGAGTTACACACATTTTTTCATTGTTGCTCTTTAGTGTTCAAAAACTATATTTAATGTTTCGGTCTTTGCGAAATAGAAGTATTTCATTTGTGCACTCCAAAATTAGCAGAACCCCTTAAACAAAAAATAATTCGTTACCAAGATGCCAAACGAGTTATTTACAAAGGTATATCTATGATAAAGATTAAAATGGGGAAAGTCTACAGCCTTGATAGACACAATTCAATATAGCCAATTCAAAAGTTAGTTTATTTCCAACTGTAACCTGATTAACGGTACCCAAATAGAATCTCCAATTAAGTGGTATACACTTCTCGATAGAGTCTGTATGCAAAAAACTACGGTATTAAGTAAATTTTTATCAAGTCAACATAACGATCATGGGAATTGTTTGACAATGAGAGGATGAGAGCTAGTAATGGTGTGAGCATCAGGTAACACCGGTTACTTGTTTAGAACTATTAAGAAACGGGTTTAAAAGTCGATCCACAAGTTTAGATATTAGTATAATTAGGAGTAATTTATATCTATTTAGTGGCTGTGTTCAAATTTCGGCCACTAAGACCTATACTCAAGCCTTTCTCCACCTATTTCGATCTCCGAAACCATGTAATATCACCAGTTCACATTCAGTATGACTCATACCCAAGTACTTAATAAATGAGTTAACTTAGTTTCTTTCAGTCATACAGAACTAAGCATCAGGTGAGATTTAATGGATCACATCACATTTGTATCGATCATATCAGCTCATTTACAGTGGTTTTGTGTTTTGTGCATCTATTTCCAATAATTACACAACTATCTACACTGACTAACAGAATTCGTAATTCACATCATTACAACATGAGGCTTGTTGGGACAAAATACTGATTGCTTAATTCTTCATATTAACCTAAACGTGTATACTAATCCATTTTTTTCAACCGTAGAAAGTAATTATCATCACACCATACGTTTATCTATCGTCTTATTAAACCTAGCAATTTTAGATATTTCAACCAGTAACGTTTAATCTTTGACGAGTGGGACTCATCGTTTGTAGTTTCTGAAAGTATTGAGTTTTATTTACGTTTCTTAAATAGCTAATCTTCGCTTAGACATTGTATGTAAAGAATTACATTTGGGATAATTTCAGCTAACACTACGGGATTTGAATCGACCACTGCATCTCTATGCTAATGTGGTGTGGCAACTCGAACTGATGCACGTACGTACGAAGTTCTACGTTGTTACTGACTGACTGACTGAGCTATGAAATTTGAATGATTCTGACGTTCTGGTCTGAACTTCGGGGAAATAATCGAGACTAAATTATTAAAGAATAAATAAGGAACAAAACCACCTTGAAAGCATGACAACTATGTTCAGCTGTTTGGTTTTGCTTAGTTAGTTCATGAAACATTTAACGTTAAGATTGTTTGTAGTGTGAGATGTGTACGAGTATGTGAATATGTATGTTATTGTTATTAGAATCCAGTAAAAAATGATTTCTGTAGTTATGACCGAGTACATCAATCATGTTTATGTACTATAAACCTAAGAACACATGCTTAAAATAATCTGATCTAATTGTGTATAAATTAAGATTGGCCGTGGTGTTAAAAGTGAATAAAGATAACTGATTAAGCACCCATTTTTATTAGAATCAAACTTCGGGTGATATAGGCGGGGGTGGACGTTATTGTCTATATATTTACTTGTTAAGTAGTGTAACGGTATTGATCTATTCTCAAGTTTCTTGAGTTTTCTAGAGAATCTAGGAATATGTTTCAAATATTGTTTGCATTCTTTCATCCTCACATCCAACAATCATTTACTGATTGTTTGTTCGAAATAAGACAACAGTAATGTATAAATTGTTTATTCCGGAAATCGACGCATCCTGAAAGAATCTAAATTATAAGTCAGCACAAATTCTGTCGGCGAAGGTCACATTTATTGGGAACCTGATAAACAGACTTTATAAACTTGATCTTATCTGTTAAAGCATAGGCGGCTATGACGAAAAGACATCGTTTATCATATTGATTTCTTCTTCCTTTGATGGAACTTTCTAATCTACCAGCACATAACTGACTGTTAATGGAGATCCAATCGATCATTGCTGCCTCAGCTCTAGCGCTTAGTGCGACACAAACGCCAACAAAACCAGACGAAGATGCCACACGGTCCCTGGATAAATTCACGTAAAACAAGCATTTCGATGAGACAGATAGAGAGCGAATTTGTAGTATTTCACTAGAGTCTTGAATACGGGTCTCGGATAGACAACAGACGTCTATATTGACTTTGATGACATAACCAACTATCTGTTGTCCGATCTACATTAGTGTGACAACTTTGAAGGAAGCCAGTCTGAATGGTATATGTGGTTTCAGAAGGACTTCCAGTATTCGGTGGTAGCAATCAACTTTCGACCATTCAGTGACTCGAGATCGCTTAGATAGAACAGGGTTTCTACTATAGGCGAGCTTCTATGTAAGTTGAAAAATAAGGATACACAAAGTGGGAATAAAAGGAAGTAGATAAGTGATGTAGTATATAAAAAATGAATGTGAGTTGTTTGGATTTTAGTTGTGGCAAGAACAGTATTTACGGTAATTATTATCATTTCATTTTATGTGTGGGCTGTGATACTTCCCGGGTGCCTAGACTGAAGCAGGTGGTTTTCTTGAGGACAGCTCCCCTAACCTTTGACCTAGAGGACTAATCCACAAGGCAGTGGGGCAACATTAGGAAATGCAGTCCCATAGTAGCCGGTGACCAACAATAAGTTCATACACCATTTGCTCCCTCAGGATCGTGGAGCCCATGTGCACCATTGGTTTGGAATCAAGGTTTACCAACTTCCCTAGGTGGGTGCTTCGTGTACACTAACCAACCCGGTTACAGCGCCTGACATTCACTTTTTTTTCCTCTCAATTTCGTGAGAAACACCCTGCTGTGAGAAGGCAGTGAGTAGGACTTTCCTGGCAGTGGCTGTATGTGCGTGGCCATGTGAGAGCATCTCGAGAGGAAGAGCTGACTCTCCCCACCCTCGGTCGTAACAGGGCATTTGGGGATCGAAAAATGTTATTAATAATGAAAAGTAAAATCAATCAAAATTTTTACCGAGGGACTAGAAAAACAGTTGTCGTTTTGTACTGTAAGGAACATCGGAAGAAACAAAAAGGATTCCGAATACGGGAGATATAAAAGTTTCGAACTAATGATGCCATTATATCACCATTAGTGGAAGTGAAGAATGTAATACCAAGGATGAGAAATACATCAAAATACTTAAATGTAAGGATGAAAGAGCATATAAAATACTTAAGACTTGTTCCTAGATTCTTTAGAAACCTTAGGGACTTGAGAATAGATCAGCAATAGAACTACAGTGATTGGAAATAAAACACTAAACTAAATTTAAAGGAACTTAAATACTTGAGACAATTTCGGTTATTCCCGTGAATGAACTTAGACTATTTTGTTGAGTGAAACAGAATTATTTAAATTTTGATTGTTGAGTTTATTTTGAGTATAATTTGCACATCATATTGTTTATACACAGGATGCTAATTTTTGTTAAACTATTTGTTCTTATTTTGACGAATGTTGGCATAATCGTTTGGTTCTATCTTGGATGTGACTGCAAAAAAAAAGAAATATTAGGACATTACTTAAAACATTAGTCATAACTGTCATGATTTCTTGTAATGAAGACTCATTCGAGGAGTTTTCGATTTTTTGTCACTGGTACTTTGTAAACTACTTTTTACTCGTTCGGAAACTTCAACTAGTTTTTATTTCAAACAGTGAACAGGTGTTACTTATTTCTTTTATTGGATTTGTATACACAGTAATGAATAGGGCTTACTTGTATTTGCAACTGTATCTCACTTATTATTACCATCCAATTAATATTTAATTACTCTTTAGGTAACATCAGTCGTCAAGAGGCTGTGAGTATGCTACCTCCGCTTCTTTTAGATGTGCGCTCACATCATACAATCCTTGATTTATGTGCTGCGCCTGGATCCAAATCTGCACAACTCGTTGAATTGCTACATTCTGATGCAGAAGCAGTTCAATCGAGAATTGGTGTTGAAAATGCCTCAAAGTATGTTGAGCCTACAGGAATGGTTATTGCGAATGATTTTGATCAGAAAAGATGTTATATGATGGTTCATCAAGTGAAACGTTTACAAAGCCCTTGTGTTGTGATAACTCAAGAGGACGCTACATGCTTCCCACGTCTGTATATAACTCTATCACCAGATGAAAAGGTTTGTTCATCATAAGATTTTATAAATAATAAATTAGAGCTAATGGAACTCACTGATAAATGAATTCAAATAGATTTTAATTTCTTATTCTTGCAATTTCCTGGATTTTTAGATTTGACTAATTACTACCTTTATTAGAGTGAATTACTCTTAATTCTTATTAACTTGCCTATTCATTTCCTGTTTTGTGTTAAGAAAAACTTTGGTGACTGAAACGCTTAGTCACTGAACAATACATTGCCAAGCGAATATTTTAGTGGTTGTCATGTTCTCACAAAGTAGTACTGTAGTGAACGGAACTCGAGTGGGGACAATCGAATGTATTTAAGACAAAATTACAGGACTTGTTAATAAAATCTAATAATCATTAAGTAATTGCTTAATTTGCAAAATGTCCACCAATTGTCTCAAAATGACTCAAACTTCATTGTTCTTGCATTTTCATACAAATTACATCCTGTTTCAATTCTTTACTGCTTGATCCTCTTGTCTCTCTGCTGCCAGACATTCGCTTTACGAGTAACATTATATACTACTTATGTCAATATAAGTAGCACACCACAGTACGTCTAGTCAGATTATTTATGAAGATGTCAGTAATTTTGTGTTGCTATATACAAATAAACATTAATTTCTTGACGATTGCTTTCGAGAATATGGTGCTAAATGCTAGTTTCATATTGTAAAATTTATTTTGGAGCGAGTAGAACTTATTTATCTCAAGCTGTTTACTTCCTAAATAATGTCACGTAAATTCGTCAGCATAATCCACACACTACTTCATATCCATCGGACCCCAATTTAGTTACTATATGCCTCTATATAGTTGGCTAATAATTTTGATGATGTTTTTTCAGTTTTCACTAGAACTGCTTCTTTATCAAGCTTTTGTTGAACCAATGTTTTACCTGTAATAAAGTTAATTGATATCTCAATAATCAATTTATTGTAACAGAAGTATCCGACTGACATATATCGGATGATTGTTGATACCCATCGTGAATCATATAAAAACAATTTAAATGTACCATTTCCCGAAAGACATTTTGTTACTGAACAGTATTTTATAAATTGGAGTAAGTTTTGAGTTAATTGCTAGCTTAATCTTTCCTGATTCATTTATAAACTTCTCGTTTGTTTTCCAGACTAGTCAGAAAGATTTGCGCCAACTAATGTTCGATCGTGTTTTAGCAGATGTACCATGCAGTGGAGATGGAACGCTTCGCAAAAATCCTGACCTTTGGTTACGATGGTCGCCTAATCTGGGTATTGGTGAACATCCTTTACAATGTAGAATCCTAAAAAGGGGTTTGGAGCTTTTGCGTGACCCAGTTGGAGATTCTACAAGCTATCCTCGGCTAGTTTACTCTACTTGTAGCTTTAATCCTGTCGAAAATGAGGCTGTTGTGGCCTCAGTGCTACACGCGTGTCAGGGAGCTGTTCGGTTAATCGAACCGGATCTTTTGGAACGAATATTACCAGATTCTTCTGAAAACAAGGATTCAAGTAGACGGAAATTTAAATTCAGACCAGGTTTAAGCGATTGGCGTATCATGGACAAAAAAGGAGTTTGGTTTACGTCATATGACGAAGTCCCCACAGGGTATCTAGACGTTTTAAACTATCCCATTGCATATTTCGCAGTAAAGTCTCTAGTTTTTATTATTATTATTATTATTATTATTATTATTATTAACCCCTGATTTTACATGGGACTAATAACATCTTCAAGTATTAATTTCTATTCTGATTTCCCTTACCCTAACTTACATTAAGATATAATGAAGGTATTCACTAAGATATATTGCATAATCTCTTGACTCAACCCTCTTTATCAGTAGGCTTGTTTGATGGACATCCAGTCACTTCATTTTAGTCCACGAAACTCAATATCGTTTACGTTTCTGCCAAACTAATAATACCAGAAAGATACATGAAATTGTGATTAAGAACAGCAAAGTATGTAAGTGGTAGTGATATTTTCCGACTCCCTGCATCAAAATATTTGGTGTATTTGGGTCTGAAACCCAGTGAACAGAAGTTAAATTCTTAAACATTAAATGCAAATCACTGTCTCGTTGTGGTTCGCATAACCTGTGATTTCCTTTACTGTTTTCCAACTCTGCGAACCCCACACATCTAGGTAGGTTATTATTTCGTGATGCTCAACACAACCTCTAACCATTCTATTCGCAACAATTTCACAAACCTGTTCGAAAAATTACCAGGAACGTTGCTTGTTTTTGGCGTTTTCCATTGATTGGAGCTTTTTAAAAAATATCAATCGTTGCCATCTTCAGCATGATTGACCATTCACCCCTAACGTCTACTGCTTACAAAATAGATAATCGATCTTTCCTGTGTGACTCCGTTATCTCGTTAGTAAACCATATCCAGTTCACCTCCAGTTTGAGTCACTAGACAATCAATTCATAGCCAAGGGATAAAAATGCCACTTTGATTTAATGATTTAATAATAGTTACGCCGTTCCATCACTTCGTTAAACAACTTGGTCTTCAGCTGCATTTACTTAAGCAAAAGACTTATTATTGCCACTAATGCTCTTAATAGTATCATTTGTTGTTTACTTTTTACCATACAATAATTTAGCCAGCGGAATTACATATGCCCTTCCTTATTTCCTCCATCTAATGTATCAGATCTACATTTGGAACATTGTAAACGTGTTTTACCTCATGATCAAAACACTGGTGGGTTTTTCATTGCTGTTTTAGAGAAAATTGCACCATTACCTTGGATGAATGCTACAAAGCGAGAGGTTTCTGTAAGTAGCAGTCAAATCAACCAACCAGACAAACAGCTTGAACCAAAAGATGATTCAGGTAAGATTTGAGTTTTTGTCGCGATTACACTGACTACACATTTTATACTACATTTTATGTGTAATCAACCTGTATTATACATGTGCTACCATCAAAAAAGTATAATTGGAAGCATTTCAGTTGACTCATTAAAATTCTAGAAAGGTGCTAAATATAAACGCTAAAGCTCGGGAAACTATAAACATTTGAATTGTAAGTAGACGAAATTATTTTAAGAAGGTATAGGTGTTGTAGGAAAAACTGTTTTGCTTGTAAAATCTCAACCAGGGCTCGGAAACTGTGAAAACGTTTGTTCATTTTCAGCCGTCGATGGCATAAGAAGAATAATGATATTTCCTATGTATCTAAGTGTATGAAAAATATGAAAATATGAAAAATACAATATTTAATGTTGATACTATGATCTCGAGTTTCACATTGACTGTTCATGTTTGATTAGTGTCAAAATTAAATCTGTACTTGTATGTGATTTAATTGTATTACGAGTAAATAGATTCAAAGAGATATCCCAAATTATTCAAGTGTGTATTCCATATAGTGTTGTCATATTAAAAAGTAAGTTTGCAACTTTTTCTTGTCCATTGTTTTGGGCAGTCACAATATATTAGTTCAACCTTAGATGTCAGTTCCCATCACCCTGTTTAACTAATAATTCGCTTGCATCTTCGTCTATTATCTTTATTTACCATTCAACATTTTTTTCTTTTACCAAGGACCTCCATGTGTTGCTAAAAAATCACGTATCTTTCATGAAAATGGATTGACTTATATAGATTCTACTTTGGATCCAATTTGGTTAACAATTCGTGATTATTATAAAATAAAGGATAAGTCATCTTATAATGGTGAATCATCTTTGATATCATTTTGTGCAGATAACCTACTTTCACGTTCTGGTGGGGAAGGAAATCGCTGTCGATTTCTCTACTATACAAATAGTGTTATCAAAAATATGGTATCGACAAATAAGGAAAGAGGTTAGTTTAATATTTCTATATGACTTACCGCTAAAAGTGTTGATAAGACATTTTAATTGATAAAAAGTACCAGTAATTAAGTAGCTATATTTCACTGATTGGTCATACAGTGCAATTCGGCATATTTCCTGTCATTTTTAGATCGAGAACTTTTAAGCACATTTTTAACATTTCTGTAATTGTGTTTTCGTGAACTATTCTACTAGCTATTTATAGCATAATTAAACTTTCGATTGGTCAGATTGATAACCTAAAATGATTATTTCTCTTATCATTCATTTCACGGAATATCACAGATCAGTCGAACCCAAAAGATTCATTTCTTGTGATAATAATAATAATAATAATAATAATAATAATAATAATAATAATAATAATAATAATAATAATAAGTATTACGATGCAATTTTATTGTGTTCTGCGGTCCGATTTTAGTAACTGACGCACGCTCTTACACTTAGTAAACCAGGTATGTATGGATTAAGTCGAAGACTCCACGGAAAGTTCCGTTGTCAGTAATCGGATGAAATTGTATACAACTCACTTGTTACGGAGCTGATTCACATACGGACATATGGGGGTCACGTTCGGTAGGCATACAGTTTGCTACTCCCAAAAGCCTGTTCAAAATTCCATTTCTTACCTACCATACGATTACTTCATATGTTAATTAGGATATTCCAAATAACTCAATCGCAAGTCGAACCTATAATATTTTTGTACAGTCTGAATACATAAAATCACTGAATCGACTGTCAATGCCGTCTTGACATGATGGTCGGACGTACTTGATAACTCAATAGACCTATAGTGATTGAAGTACTTGTTCCTTCAACTCCTACTACTGACTCTACCAATGCCCAACGGCAGTAAGATGCTTCGTCCAGATACCCAGAATCCCCAACGATATTAATTTCTCACAATGGAGGAAGGAGATCTCTGTCTCTAAAGGTAAGTGCAGAAATAATGCATCAAAACTACTGGCCAAACTAACCGTTTGTGACCGGCTTCAAGCAACTGTCCTTTGGGCACAGTGGTTACGCTCTCGGGTTCTTATGACTACTCTTAATCCAGATAACATTTTATTCTTGATATGAACCAACCTTAAACGTAAGCGGAGAACACGTCTTAACCTGGTGACTACCTACGTAGAACAGAAAGACAGCATCATGAACCAAAAATTGATTCCAGGTCTTCAAGGATGATGGTTGAGTTCTAACAGTTAAGTTGTCTGAGATGCTAGCTAAACTTTGTAGACCAGACATAATCCCTTCTGACTAATTTAGATCACTGTTCATTCCAGTCTGTAAGAAATGTCCTTAAATCCTTTTGTGCTTACCACAGAAAAAATTGGTTTTACTAATATAATATTTAAAATACTAGCTCCCATCATCACTAGATGTTTGAATGGTCCACTAAAATAGCAAACTCGATAAAACCGTGCTGATTTCAAATCTAAATGATCAGATAGTGGCTGAACATGTTTTACTTGTGCTCAACCGCCGCCTACGTTGATACAATGTTAGCAATAGCTTGGAAGGAAACTTGAGACAACCAAATTCAGAGGGGGCAATCACGTAAATTCATTAACTGTTCAACTGAGCGGCATCCGTAAATGTAGACTACCTGGTTGGGGTTTGTGCAGCAGTCGCAATCTGTAGTTATAGACGTTGGATGACACAACTAAGAATCAATCAGTCGGACAGATACATTCACGCTTCTTTACTTTCGTGTCGTGTATTCCTCGAATCCAACCTTTCTTTTGGAACAGTATTTTCCAATGTTTGGTCTTTCGTTGAGTCATTGATATTACTATTATTTCGATTTCGTTCCAGCTAATCTTGTTAATCTCATCTGAATGTTCCGATTTGGTATTATGAGTAATTTGTGACAGGCCTTGTAATGACTGATGATGTAGTTATCCAAATCAATTTAATTACTGAATTTTTTAGTTCACTTCTGTCTCAGTTTGTATAAGGACTTAGTATTTACCAAAATAAATCACCATCTTTCGAATTTTCAGTCACAGTTATTTTAATTACAATGAAGAAATATATTTATTAGAGACTTCGCTTCAGTCATACTTTAAGGCAGATGTATCTTATCTCTTTACTGAAATTCTTTCCTTGTTTAGGATTGAAAATAGTCAACACTGGTGTCCGAATATTTTCCTCTGTTGAAGATAAACAATTTGAAGGATATCGTTTATTACAAGATGGAATTGAAGTAGCTGATGCTTTTATACCCCTATCAAGCGATCGTCGTGTTCGTCTCACGTCAAATGAATATTGTGATTTAGTGTTACTTTTAAAGTATGAGATGCCATTGTTAAGTCTTATGACTGAATCAACTCGTCGTCAGTGTGAAAATCTATCACCTGGTCCAATTTTAATTGATTATACACCTAATGCTACTGACTTCACAAGTGATGTAAGTTTATTATTTAGTATTTAAGTTGTGTTTTGTAAAAAAAAAATCGCAAATGTTATGAGTGTCTTAATGATGGGTTAACTAATGTTAATTTGCAATCTAAATGTGACTATCCTTAGTATATACTCCATCAATATTTTCTGTCGACACTCCAGACTACTAATTAATAGTTTGATATGAGATGGTTATTACTCCTATTAGGGCTCATTTATGGAATTTGTCCAGCTCAATTAAGTAGGGTATTTGTTCACTTTGTTTGCCACTTTTATACCTTCATAAGGTGGATATCAGGTGGAGAAAACCGGAAAATGATTCGGCAGAAACATTGCACGAACCAACAAAATTCTAGTTTTCAGTGTGAGTTAATAGCTAGGTGCAGTTTCATGTCTCAGTTCTATTAATACAAAAGCTAACAATATATTTAACTCAGTCAGTCAGCTACAGCGTAGGACCAGGCACATTTATGCATCGGTCCAAGTTGCCATACCTCATTACACAACAAGATGGACACCGGATTCATAAAAGTAGTTAATTCAGAGGTGGTAATATATAAAAGAAATATTGCAATAAGGATATAGTACAGGAAGAAAGAATTAGTTCCTAGAAAGAAAGATATGAAGCGATTTTAATCTCTTAGTTTAAGAGAAAACAGAGAGTGTATACACCGACGCCATTGTGATCGATTCTGAGCCATGTCACCAAGAGTCTCCAACCATTGGTTACGAAAGTCACGCGGACCCCAACCAAGTAGTCTGCATCTACCAACATGGCTCAGACTAGAAGTTAGTGACTCCAAGCACCGATGCCACGTTTTGGTCTGGCCGCCCCTAACTTTCTTCCAACCATCTCCAACACCGGTTAGCATTGCACGTCGTGGTAATCGGTGTTCAGGCATACGTAACACGTGGCCCAACCATTTCAGTCGATGAAGATTCACAACCTCATCAACTGATTCACCATCATTCCCTAATACCTTGCGTCTAACCTCACTATTACTTACCCGGTGATCACAGCAGATGCCAGCAATATTTCTAAGGCATCTGTGGTCAAATACTAGTAGCTTACGAGTGTCTTCTACTCTTAATGACCATGTTTCGCAGTCGTAAATAAAAACAGAACGGACTGCCGCGCAGTACATTCGTCCTTTTATTGATAGACGGATATCTCGCCTTCGCCATAGGTGACGTAAGTTGGCAAAAGCCAAACGAGCTTTTCGAATCCGTGCTGAGATTTCGTCAGACACCAACCCATTACGGCTGATCAGACTTCCAAGATAAGTGAAGTTATCGACGCGTTCGACTACTTCACTCCCTATCCTTAGTCCAGGTGTTGACGCAGACCAGTCCTGAAACAACAACTTGCATTTAGAGGGAGAGAAGCGCATCCCAAACATTCTGGCATTGTTGCTTAGTGCTACCAAAAGACTCTGCATTTTGTCAGCGTCTTCACCAAACAGGACTATGTCATCTGCGTATTCTAAGTCGATAAGTGGACCTCCTGGATGGAGATCAATACCCGAGAATTCAGTCAACGAGAGCGTTATTTCCATCAGAAGATCTATGATGTTAAACAAAAATAGGGAAAGTGGACAGCCTTGACGGACACCACTTGAGGTTGCAAAAGTAGATGATAGTTCGCCATAAGCTCTGACTAGACTAGTAGTGTTCGAGTAAAGAGCCTTCACAAGGTTTATGTACTTCTGTGATACGCCTTTCAATGACAGGCACTGCCACAGAATCTTGCGGTCTACCGAGTCAAATGCTGCTTTTAAGTCGAGAAAGACCACCATTGTCGGACGCCGATAAGTATGCCTATATTCTAGAACCTGACGAATGGTGAATATGTGGTCGATGCAGCCACGACCAGGTCTGAAGCCAGCTTGGTTCTCTCGTGTTTGCAGTTCACGAGTCTTAGTTAGGCGTCTGATAATTATCGAGGCTAGTATTTTAGATACTATATTAGTTAAACTAATCCCTCTATGGTTGTCACAGGATGATTTTAACCCTCTCTTATATATTGGGACGATAAGTGATTGTGACCAGTCAGATGGAATAACGTCTAACTCCCAAATCTTAGCTAAAATATTAGTCAACCTAATCGCTAAAATTGGACCACCATCCTTAAAGACCTCTGGAGCCAATCCATCTGGACCAGCTGCCCTTCCTCGTTTCAGATTAGCTATAGCCTTTTGAACTTCTGCTAGAGTTGGGGGACCTACTTCAATGTTCCATTCACACTGTCTGGGAATGGAGAGTATTTGTAGAGTAGCTGAAGGCCAGCTGAACTGTTCCGCCCATCGTTCTAAACGTCTGGACTGGGAGCAGATGAGGGTGTCGTCTTTGTCCGAAATAGTCTGACTCACACTTGACTTTTTAATTCCAGTTTCTTTTATTAGTCTGTAAAGCTGTCTTGTGTTCCCTATAGTCGCCGCCTTTTTCATCTCTTTTGCTTTCGTTGCCCACCACTGCTCACGGTCGTTCCTTAGACTTTTTTTTAACCTAGATCTGATGTGTTGTCGCTCTTCATCATGTTCGGAACCTGATGGGACGAGTTTGCGAGAATCCACCAGTGTGATAGACTGAACAAATCCACTGGTTCTTTGTAACTCTGTGGTTTAAGTCACTAATAGATTTCATTGGTGTTTCCACAGCTGTCTGTATAGCTTTCCAAGCAACATCTGGGTCAACCTCGTTTTCAGAACTACCTAAGTGTGACCTCAGTTGTTCCTGGAACCTACTTTTGGTTTTTTCGCTACTCAACTCAGTTCTAATGGGTCTTTTTGATGTGGCTTTTTTGCGTCCAGTGAGGCGCAAGCAGATGCGTGCCCGTACTAGGGCATGGTCGGAGTCCATGCAGGTACTCCAGAATGAGCGACAATCTTGTACCGACCCTCTCCAACTATGACTGATGGCAATATGGTCTATTTGAGTCCACCGTTGATTTGGTGTAGGGGGTCGCCATGTTAGACGATGTCTCTCCTTATGCTTAAAATTTGTGTTTGCTAAAAATAAACGATTGTCTGAGCATAGCTGCAGCAGACGATCACCATTATCTGTTCGCTGTGTCGGAATACTAAAATATCCACCTAAATGCCTTTCTGTTTGGTTTAAACTACCTATCTGGGCATTAAAGTCACCTGTTACGAGTACTATGTCTGAACGTTTAGCTTTCTGAAGAAGTTCAGATAGCTTTTTGTAAAATTGATCTTTCATTTCATCTGAGCTGCAGTCGGTGGGAGCGTAGGCAGAAACAGTGAAAAGGCAACGACGTGTGTCTCTATCTTTCCGAGTTCTTACGGAGCCGTTTAGCCGAACAGCACATAAACGACTGTTAACGGGGATCCACTCTAACAGTGCTTGTTCCGCCCTCATGCTTAGTGCTATGCCTACTCCTGCCAGTCCATGAGAGCTGGCCGTCGGGTCACCAGATACACAGAGGGTGTATCTCGTTGGCGTTCCGTTTTGCCGAGGTGAGGTCAAGTGAATGACCACACTGGGATCCCGCATGCGTGTTTCAGAGACACAGCATACATCAATGGTACGAGGTTCTAGGGTTCTAGCCAGGGAAGCCTGTTGACCGATTTGACATAGGGTTCTTACGTTGAAGGCTCCAATGTGTAGTTTGGAGCGAGGTTTCAGTAGACCTGGGACAGAGTTTTGAGCACTAGAATCGTTGGCTATGGTGACACTTGAGGAGGAAGCCGAAAAAGGAAGTTTAGAGGTGAATGTCGATGTAGGAGGAATAATAGGAATTGAAGAGGGAGGTTGATTATGAATACACTGGTCTTGAGTGGTGTTAGAGGTATGAGGGCGGTTATCACTTCCCGGTTGCCTACACCGTAGAGGGGTTTTTCTGGAGGTGCCTGAAAAGGAAATTGGATTAGAGGTGGTCTTAGTGATTTGAGAGCGTGACCGCAGTGCCCAAGGGACAACTGCTTGAGGTCGGTCACACACGACCTTTTTATGGGTAATTTTTGTGTTAGCTCCGTACTTGTTGAGACCTTACCGCCGGAGACGGAAATCCGTGAGGTAAGGTGAGGTGTGCATTTTTAGGGTCGACTTTTTCTAACCCCACCCCTCTTTTTGGGAAGGCAGCATCGCTATCATGCTGGTTGTCTGAAGGAAACACCTTACTGCTGTCACACCTCTGTACAGTCAGCAGTACGACTTCGCCTTCGGACCTTGGGTTTGTTGCTTTGAGTCTTACCGCTCTTCGACCGACTTGTCTGACATGGTAGGACCTAGAGAAACGATTGTTCCAGCCAGTATAGCTCGGTTGCTTCATCACGATAGGCAAGCCCGACCACCACCCCAAGGTAGCAACAACGGTCGGAATACAAAAGTAGGTGTTGTGAAATTTTTAACCCACTGTTCTAACTGAAGATGTCAAGAGCACTAATATTCAACCTTGTAAAGCAAACTGTGGAGGTTATATTTTCTTACGGTCTGGAAAACTTTCATAAAAGAGAATATTCGCAGGATAACATCTGGACATATAATAAGATACAGGTTAACGTTATATCGTCTTCCAACTTGTATTTACTCAAAATCAACTGTCTGTCACCACTGTCTCATGTTTCGTACTTATCCACCATTCTTCTGTTGCAATGTGTGTAACTTACATACTCTATCTCACACTTAATTTTAAGATTATATTTTAGTATACACATCAACCATTTTTCGTTAAGAGTCACTTAAACTGCTTATCTGTACCTTCTTTAAATTTATATTGATAAAATAGGATGGATCGTGGACATGTGATAGTTTACCTCGTTGCAGACTTGTATTTTCTGGTTGGCGTGGAGCTAAAAGCATACGACATTATATCGGACGTTTTGAACGATTACATTTCATGAGACTAGCCAACATTGAACCTAGTCCGTGTATCATGGGACACACCGCTAAGGAATTAGTAGCTCACGTAAATTCTGAATCCAATGAAGATGTTGAATGATTGGTTCATTTGTACACTATTTCTGTGATCAATGTTATGTACCAATTTTTACTAATCAAGATACACGACCTTATGGAAATAAATCTAGAGATGTTTTTTATCTTTACATGAGATTTATTATGAACAAAGGTCTCTGCTTGATATCTTTTTCAGCGTTTTTTTTGTTTATTGGGTAGTTAGATCAAACATCACTCCCAAACTAGTTAAATGAATGTAAACTTGTCGGCTGATAATAATAACTTAAATCTCTATCTTGGTTGATCACAATCGGTACACACAACACAGGTTTTTTAATTACAATATCTTGTTAGCAACTAGACGATTTGATAGTAATTTCTTTATCCTACCATTTTGGAGGAAATATGAAAGGTAGAGTGCCTAATTTCAAATATAAAACCATATGAAATTATAGATCTCTGGTAAAGTATATTCCTTTTTAAGAGTATATTTAAAACAAATTGCGATTTCTAACTAAGCCAATTGAACTTTATTTTTGAACACTCCCGTTAGGTTGAACGAAGCGAAACAGTTTATTACTTCTTTCTCGCGTTAAATAAAATATTAAGAGTGGGAATAGTGGAAATTCGACTCAAAACTTAACAATGTTTTTATAACATAAGGCTATCTTTCTGCTTTATGGTTCGTCGCATATGCTTTTTCTCTGATCTATCTGAAAGCAAACATGAAATTTGTACAAATATTCATCAATATTAGAACGGATAGTTTGACAAAAATTGGGCACCGAGTATAGAAAGGTCATTATATATGAAAATTATAGTTGAAATAATCTCAGCGATTCAAATTTAAAATAAGTCTAACGTTTCATCCAATCAAGTTGTCTGGAATTCTTCAGGGTAATAATCAAATTCATCAAAGAAATATATAGCGTTTAACAATCAAATCTATACTATGCTAATCTAATCATATTTGGATGTTGATTTTAGTAAATAGGATAATACGAGCCAGTTAAATGCGGATCATTTTTAAGAGTTCACGGTGTGAAAATAAATGACTGAACGAATTGTATGTGTGTATGTATGTGTAAGATTGAGTTCTTAATAAGGAAGACCAACAGGTTGGATTGAATAGACTTTTGTCCAAACTTACAGATAACAACTAACCCAAAGAGATTTTAAAGAAGATTATTAGAAATGAAAGAAAAACTAAACTAGAATACACAAAATAAGGAGATTCATATTAATTTGTTAAGGTTTCTTTTGCGTTATTAAAATCTAGAAAAATATGAAATTCTTTGAGATTAATGAATTAGAGGAAATTCCAGACAATGCAACTGGGCATGAAAAAATAGCATTGGTGTCGCGTCTTAATTGAATTCAAGAGGCTCATTATTCCTTATGAACTTAGCAAAATGTCAATCATTAACGAATGTTTTAACATGAGAAAGGGATTAGAAAAGCCACGGTTTATTACCCAAACTTGTATCTGTTAGTAATAGTACATAAATTTCGCTAATACTATAATGGAATGAAAAAAACGTCAAGATGTCTTTGACAATATTTCTTTTACTCAGTCCGTATAAAATCGGGTTGGGAACGTGTCATCATCTGATTGGGACAATTTGAGAGTTTGTTATCAGTCTTTAAATGATACTTCGTTTCCAAAAATTTATGACTTCTGTGATCATCACCAAAGTATGAATGTTTACAAATTTATAACAAAATAATTAATCTATACGTAATATATGAAGAATTGGACTATGATTAAAGAGAATATTAAGATTTTCATATGCTGTCCGTGTACACATCCTTCTGAAAAAGTAACATGTAATTCGTAGAAGTAATGCTTAGCAGCCATGAACCATATTGAACAAAGAGTAGAATTTGGATGAACAAAAAATCTACCAAATAAAGTGAATTCATCTCATTTCAAAGATCATCAGCTTTAAAGTGCCTTAAGTTATAAATAGTAGTATTATTGTATATGCTTTTATATACATTAGTCAATGAAGTTGAGATTGGCAAAACTATCATAAGAACTAGAAGAATAAACAAAATCAGCTATTAAATATAGTGTCTTGGATTGACAAATATTTATAGGTTGAAAATGCAGTGGTGTAAAGGAGTGAATTCATAACTAATGATTCGAAAACAACATGAGACAGTCAATGAACCGGTAATTATGCAATCAAACTGGATAGTTGAAGTAAAATATTGAGCGAACGATCGCGGATAATCATCAAGTATCATGTAATTAGTAAAGTCTCATTACTATCATCGTTTTACTATGACAAAGAGAGGTTTTCCACATTTTCCATGTGTACATATGTTAAGCCAAAAGTGTTTCATGGCGATGACCTCTTTAAACCTGCTTTTTTTGCTTGGCAACTACTTTGTGATATCAATGTTTTGCCTACTGTCCATTAAACCTCTAGTAATTATACTTGTGAACACTTCCTTTCAGGCATAGATGTCGAGGAAAACATGCATATACTGTCCTCTCAGTTCTCCCTATATACTTGGTACTACAAGTTCATGTAGGTTCATAAATCCATTACAGTCTTGATACTAAATAAATAAATAGGATTTTGCTGAAAAATATTCAAATTAAATGGATAAACATAGTAAGTAAACAGAATAACATTTCTTCATCTTAAATGGTTAGGTACCAAGAAGAATTTAAAGGATATGATACTCTTGACATCAGCACATATAACCGAACAAAAGGTACCACATATTCCAATCCATACGAACTCAACATTGAATTGAGTTACGTTATTTTTTGAAATTAAGATTTCTATGTTGGCCTCATTGAACAAATAATCGTCAGACTAATTGGTTGATGCCTGAAACTTTATTCGAGTAAGTTTCTATTGTGATTCCGTTTCGTCATCTTCATTGAACCGAGAATTCATCTTATGCTTATTATGTTAACTGATTCAGTCGACGCCTTGATGGAATGAGACAACAACTACATGTTTGAGAAATTTGTTTTACTACTACTAGTAGTAAAGTAGTCTCATCAAACTTTCGAAAAGACTAGATATGGCTCTGGTAAATTTAGTCAATTTTAAGGTTTCTATTCTTCTTGGTTATTGCTTGAATGAAACTTCGTGAGTGCTCACGATCTATTCAGAGATCCAACTCATAGAATTCAGGTCTCGTGACAAGTACCTAACCGTTACACTACTGGATGGATATCAGATTGTACACACTCCCGACGTCAGTCAGTTTATAATATAGCTCGAAGATCATTCATCGTAATTGACGTAAACTGTTTCAGTCTTGTATTTGAACTCCGCTCGTCACTCTTAACTAGAAAACCAGGAACTTTTCTCAATATGAGTAGGACTATAGTAGTATCAAACAAGTTTTGGGGAGATTAATTTATGGGTATTGTTTGCTACTCGTTAAAATCAGTTGGCGGATCTTTAAAAGCAGAGTGGTGAGTACTATTGAGAGGTTCTATACTAGAAAGAAGCAGCTGTTTACATATCTAATAAACTCCTTAATAACTATTTCTAACCGCTCAATCTGATCATTTTGATGTGCAAAGCCTAGGGACAATTTTTCAGTTTTGGGCTACTCTGTAGGTTGAAATATTTGCTTATTTTAAAATACTGTGTTGAATTTTGTTACCAGCACAAAAAGACTTATCATTAGTGTTAAAAAGAAGTTTATTATAAAATGTATTTTCGTTTACGTTTTACGTATCTCTATGTATCTATTTCTAACTACATATTAGAATAGAGCCTGAATAGAATCTAGTTTTAAATAACACTGTTCATTTATATGTCTTTGTAAACTAATTCTAAGAGAGAAGTAGTACCATCTAATTAGTGAAGAATTAATATCTACAAATAGATAGAGAAAATAGTAAGTAATCACCAGTTGTCATAATAAATTTAAAGTCTAAAAGGAGTTGGTTATTTTATGTCATAAAAATCAATATGTTGTGGTCCGATTATCCGGGACGTTTCTGCAGATTAAGTCATTAAATCAATATCATACATATGAAAAGGTGTACAATTAATTATTATCATTGATGAATAAAACAATCAACCACATGTTAATATATGAATTCTAGTTCCCACTTAATCTTCACTAACATTAAGGCTTTTGAACTTACACTAAGAGAGCACTAACAACAGTTAAATTTATTCTATCTAGACATTTTTATGAATTAAATTTAACCTTACTGTCATATAAAATGTAATAAACAGTCAATGCTTGATAAAATTAATTTATAAATATCACATTTTTGAAATATATTCTGTATTCTCCCATAGACAAATATCTTTAATCCAATTGGTGTATCTTCTCAAGAGTAAAATATTACAGTTCACCATTCTGTGGTTAAATATTTAAATTTGTCCACCCAAGTATTATCTATGAGATGGCAAATGCATACGTTTACTAAAATACAATAATCTTATTATAAATATAACAATAAATGGATAGTAATCACTGATTTCATGTAAACAATTTCATCTTGGGAAGTATGGGTGTATTATCCATATGAGAATTTAATTCATGGGGATCTTGTGATAAATGTGACGTGTTTGTACTCTCACAAACAAGAATTGATTTTAATGATTGGATTTTTGTTTCAAATAATTATTGACCCTAATTACTATGTCACAAGGTATAATTTATACGAACATTTGTCACTAAGTTGGATCAATCAATTATTCGTGTAAACTATACATAAGGTGTTTATATTCTGAAATTTTCTGGAATAAATTGTTATTTTTTAAACGAATTACATAGACTAATGGTAAGTTGTTCCATGACAATATAGACGTTTGACTAAAAACAGTGTTGACAACTTTGTTACTAATGCTCGGACAATTATATTTACAACTTATATGCATAATTAGATAATCGGACTGACCCAAACGGTTATATATAAGTGATAACTTTGAATAGATTCACGTTGGTCCTGAGGAACTAACCATATCAAGCGAACCATACTCACGAATACGAAGCATACTCATGAATATTTCCGTACCTGATTGATGGAGATTAAACGGAAAGCATCACATAGCTTAACCACACCATCTGCTCGAAATAATACCCTCTCTGAAAGCTCACAAATACAGTCCAGCGAATAAGTAAAGCATAGAGAATATTACATTTATGCACAGACGAAATTCTTGGAACCCAGAGGTTCAGACTAACATCATACATTTAAAACAAATATGGGAAACCCCTTTCCTTACAGTTCTCTGAAGAAGAATGTTACCGATTTCATTGCAATTTAATTGTAAATTTACTGTCGGTCTCAACTAAATGGTAGATTTGAGACGCGATTATTCCTACAATTTTTCTCCTCGAGTTTTCTTAATACGGGTATTCATAACGTCCTGACTTCAGGGTTGTAAACTATGTGACCTCCGCAACAACTACCCAGTTTATTTTACAAAGTATGTGTTCAATCACCACTAAAATACTTCACTTTCATCCCTAGAAGTATTCAAACCAAGGATTTCATTCTGTTTTGGTTTCTTAAACTTAGTATTTCTGGGACCGATTACACATTAGGCTAAAAATCCAGATGTACTAAGCTGGGACTTGGTCCTTCAAGAAAATAGCACCTTTAATTAAATATAGTCTTTTTCTTCAAAATTTGAAATAAATTATCCTTAACATTTATTCGTGCAATTCAGTGTACATAATCATAGGGTTATATCAGTCGTTTCTTATTACCATAGGAGATGACTTTTGAATATAAATTCACTATCTTAGAGAATTTGTTTACAACTAAATTTCTAAGGATTTCGAATAATTTGCCGTGGTCTACCTGTGAAACCAACTAATTACGATTATGTACATAACAAATCAATAATGCTCTCTCTCCCGACACTGCCTTAAGAACGCTTACACCAACGTTTAAAACACTGTTGACCAGTGAAAATATGAGTGTGTAAAATGTATGAATGCCTATAAATAAATATAATGATAACGATATCTTTCATATTATTATCTTATGTTTTTACTCTATGAATAACTAACGTCACACTTGGTTAATCACAAACTTTACTGTACTTGCATCATTTATTTTGTATTTTGAACATCAGGTCAGTTAAGAAAACCTCCTTTATGAGTCTTTAATAACTAAGAACAGATAAATTGAAAGCCATCGCAGTGACTTTGCTTTGGTACATCATCTCTGGTTTCGTTTTCCTCTTTCTAGTTGCAGATGCTTTTATGAATCTTGTGGCCAAACTAAGAGCACATAACACTATTACTTTTTTCGTGGGGGCTATTTTTCAGTCATCTAACTGAAAAAAACACTAAATCCTAAACGGTGTGTCCTATTGCTTGCAAGAAATGAAAAGTTGATTGCATACCTGAATATTATAAGAAACCTTCATCCGACCCACGTCATCTACATTTGTGTTAACTCAGTAAATTTTGTTCTGTGCTATACATTAAATGCTTTATACAACGACTCAATGCACTGCAAGCCTGTAAAGTATCAATGATGATCAGTAGATACTGAACATGCTTTTATGATGCACCAAACTGTATAACTAGTGACTAAACTATAAGATGTACCTTCCAACTAAAAAGTGTGGTGTCTCTTATTTCAAAACACTTATGGTATTATTTCTATATCACTTTCCCTGATTACGTGCGTTTTCCACAAACTACTTACAAGATTTATAACTGTTACGGTATGTATTCTGGAATTAATATTATACTCCGAAATTATGTCAACTCTGATTATGTTGTTTTTTCATGGAACAACTCTGTGACTGATCTTCTGTTAAAATAGTTTATGGATCATGTCCTATAAAGTAATGCAAACATTTTTAGTATCCCTTCTTTTTCATATTAAACTAGTAGGCATTCTATAGGATATAAATATCTTTGTTTTGAATTCAACAATTGATTCTCTCAGGATAAATGGAAGCTATGCAACGTTTGTTTGTTTTTCAGTGTATTGATAAATTTAAGAATAGTCACTTGTGGTTATACCTGAACTCGGTCAGGAAAGATCAACAATTTCTTATGGTGGTCTACAAATCTATTAGTGTTGAAAATCACTATCCTGTAAGAGCATATTATCTAAAGTTATCATTTGTACATCAAGTAGTTTACAGGAATATAATTCTTACTGACTTACTTACATATGTTACTCTTAATGGAGCATAGGCTGCTGACCAGCATTCTCCAACCCACTCTGTCCTGGGCCTTCCTTTTCAGTTCAATCCAACTGTTGTTCATTTTTCTCATGTCTGTCCCCTTTTCTCAATGTAATGTGTTCTTTGGTCTTTCTCTCCTCCTTTGGCCTTCAGGATTCCATGTGAGGACTTGCCTTGTGATGCAGTTGGGTACTTTCCTCAATGTATGTCCTATCCACTTCCAGCGCTTCTTCCTAATTTCTTCCTCCGCTGGGATCTAATTTGTTCTCTCCCACAATAGATTGTTGCTGATGGTGTCTGGCCAACAGATCAGAAGTATTTTGCGTAGACAACTGTTAATAGCCACTTATATCTTCTAGGTGATGGCTTTCGTAGTTCTCCAAGTTACCACCCCATACAGTAGAACTGTCTTGACATTTGTATTGAAAATTCTGACTTCGGTGTTGGTTGACATTTGTTTTGAGTTCGAGACGTTCTTCAGTTGTAAATATGCTGTTCATGCTTTTCCGATCCTCGCCTTCACATCTGCATCAGATCCACTGTGTTCATCAATGATGCTGCCCAGATATGTAAAGGTTTTTACATCTTCCAAATCTTCCCCGTCAATTGTGTTTGCATTGTTGCATGCTGTTTTGTATCGGAGAATCTTGCTTTTCCCTTTGTGTATATTGAGACCTAATGCTGCTGCTACACTGGTCGTCTTCTCCTGCATTTGTTGTTGCGTTTGGGATAGAAGGGCCAGATCATCTGCGAAGTCTAGATCGTCCAGCTGCATCCTGGATGTCCACTATATCCCATGCTTCCTTTCAGATGTTGACATCTTCATGATCCAGTCGATCACCAGGAGAAAGAGAAAGGGTGAGAGTAAGCAACACTGCCTGACACCAGTCTTTGCTTCGAACGAGTTTTTCAACTGTCCTCCATGCACGATTTTGCAGTTTAATCCATCATAGGAATTCTGTATGATATTGACTACCTTCTGAGGCCCGCCGTAGTGTGGAATGTAATTCTACTAAAATATTACTTGTTTGGATGCTTAGTTTAAAAAAGTATATGCTTACAAACTATTATAAATACAAAGTCATACCACCTAATCTTACCATTCTAACTGTAATCAAACATTTATCACTTTAAGCACTGATAGGTTGGAAATTTATGATGCACATTACTTGTTCAATGAATGTTGTATGTTTGTATGTTTTACTATATTTAAGCGGTTATGTAATAAATCTGAGTTAACATGCCTTTGTAGATGTACGAGATCGTTGTACAAATTGATAAGTATTTGTGTTTAATAAATTAAAATATTCCTTTTAATTTTGATCACATTCTTGGTAACATCGAAAAACCTCCTTTGTTTTTAAACTAAACACAGTCACATAATTGATCTAAACTTAAAAATTGTAAAAAAGAACGATCACTGAAAGGATTAAAAGATTATACGCAATTACATGACATACAGACAATTTGTTTCAAAATAATAGAAGCTATCCTCGGTTAATGAGTGCAGATAGTATTGAAACAGCCGTTGATAAGAATTATTTTACTGGAGGAGGTATAACTACCAATGGAGTTTTTGTATGAAGCATTACGTAGTTTGTAACACTGCCAAGTAATGTACGGCCAATCAAACCAAGTCCTCTGGATCCCATTATTATAATATTTGCTTTCTGTTCTTCAGCGAATTTTACCAAAGTTGGTCCAGGTTTAGCATGTACATGAACAAATGCTTGACAAGAAATACCAAAACGCCTTGCTTTTATCAAGTATTTTTGTAAAAGTTTCTTTGCGTTTTCAATGTCCTCTTGTGTTGACTGCATAATATCGGTTATTGGTGAAGATGCCATAGCCAGTTCAACTGTTGGTGTTGTAAATATTGGTTTAATGACAAATGAAAAGTGTAACTCGTCGTTTTCCCCTCTTAAATTATCCAGATACCATTGAAACGCACGAGCAGAATGATCACTGGCATCAATTGGTAAGAAAACAACTTTTTTGTCCTCAGTATTAACTCCCATTGTGAACACCTTTTTCTTTGGTCGAATGAAGTTGTGAATTCTATTGTTTAAATAAGGAGTGTTGTTCGATCTAAGTAAAGTTGTATTGGCCAGTTATATTTGGTTAGACATGTGACTTACGAATAGAAATCAATTTCGAAACACTTACATAGTGAAAAAGGTACTGGTAACGTTAAAATAAGATTTATAAATTACGTAGCCTGCCAAATAAATATTAAAACCTGCTGCTGATTTAACCACACTGTCTGTTGTTTATATATGCCAGTTTTCGATTGAGTAAACAATTACAAACACTAGACTATTGTTGAATAGCGGGTTTATCGTGAAGTTTTCGAGATACACTCCGGTGTTATTTAACAAGAAATTAGTTTTTAGTCACTGATGTCTCTGCTGCATTGACACCTTTAAGCAAAAGAAATGAAATACAGTCATCATTGATCCTTTTGATAGGACTCCAATATACCTATATTTTACTCTATTAAAAGATTATTTACATGCATTCGGTTGCGTGTTGTTCATCACTAATGTTTACTGACAGTGAAGTCTACATTTACTTAGGCTATGTCGGTAAGAATCAACTCTCAGCTGAGTATTTGTATATCATGGCCGTTAATCACAGGATTAATTGACATCATCTTAGAATTTCGGTTAATTAGCGACCTATATATTTGTTCATATTTATATGGTCATTCCTACTAAATTACGTTAATGAAGAATCGTGCGAGTTAATTGTTAAGTGAATTCGGTCCATCTAAATTAGGTGATATGGTTGGTAGTGGAAATTAAGACACAAGTTTTGGGACCTGTCACCTGGATATATCTGCATCCTGAAGTCGATGTTCACCCTAGGATTTGAACCCAGTACCTTTAGCTTCAGAAAGCTAACTCTCAATCAAGTTAGCTACTGAGTCACTGTAGCCATTCACTTATGCAAGGGTATAAATTTTAAACCAATTTTTACTAACAAAGATAGATGGTGGCTAGCAGTGGAATCCAAGATGCGCGCTTCGTCAGCTGGGTGTGCCTGCATCCCAGAGTTAATATCCATTCGGGAACTCGAATCCAGCACCGTTCACTTCAAACTCCATCACGTCATCCATTTAGCTACAGAGTCCTGATAGCCACCTTCTTGTTCAATGAGGTGAAGTTTAAATTCACAAACAAACAATACCAAGTCAATTTTTATTGATTCGTAATGCAACTTGGAATATTAAAATTCAGTCAAAAATATATCAACAACAGTAAACGTGATATGAGATTTCAGTAATGTAAATCTATTTAACACGTTAACTGTATACACAATTTCTTATGTTATACTTTAATTTTCTAAAAGTAACATTATCTACATTATCTATGAACAACCCTACATTTATAACCAGTTGTGTTTGAACTTGTCTCAAATATATTCCTACTGACTAGTTAGAATTCAAGGGAGTATCCTAGACACAATTACTTATTCATGTAATTGTAGTGGATAGTGTTCGGTCAGTCTTTATTATACTTATATAACATGGTACACTGTAAGATGGCTGCTAGTCATGTTTCTAGCATCATTTATATATTTATCATCGTTACCTGTCAGACCGTTTTACGTATTAAACCTCTGACACATTTGTAATTTAAATAAAGTGAAAACTACAATATTCACTGTGTTCTCTGTATTTCGTTACAGCCAAGCTAGTAAGCCTAGTTATCTCGAATTACTAACATAATTTCAAACGATACTTAAACAGTAAATAATTCAGATCTACATTAATAAACTTTATAGAATTCAGAGTAATTAGAAGACTTCAACTTGACCTTTGTACTCAAGAAATGTCCAAAGTTCACCTTTATCTGTCTTGGTAGCCAAAGCATTTTCACACTTTTTTCTTGAATTTTGTTCTTTAGTTAATTACCATGGTCTTAATGTATTAAAATTTATTCTCTTTTTCATACTCTTGTTCCTTTACAGCCATCTGCTTCACCTTTCATCTTCCCTTTAAGTCTTCTACCACCAACTGGTTTGTTTTTATTTCCACGATCATTCCGATTACATTTCATCTCTGTTTCAACATTTTATTTTATCATGCTGAGCCATCCTTTCCCAATGATAATTTCCCTATCTCTCTTTTGATGAATACTTAAGCCAATAACAATCAAACGATTATTAAACTTTCCTTGTTTTAAAAATTTTTAAAATTTTTTATACCCTTGTTTATTTAACCTCACTGTCACCATGTATAAGAGGAGTTTATTACCAGTATTATTATCATCCTGTAAAAATAAGTATATGTATATTTGCGATTGTACAGCTTTGAAAATGAATTCACCCTGAAAAGAGAACTTTTCGCTGAACTAATCTTTCTTATTCAACTTATTTTATCACCTCATATAAACATATCTAATCCATTTCATTTCTTAAACTATGATAACAATATTCATAGAGGATATCATTATTCATTTGAGTAAACCGTTTCATTTTATTAATAAAGCTACAATGACATCACATGTATTACATAATGAAAACATTAATTCATTTTATAAATTATAATCAAAGAATAAAATTCTATTTATCTAAATCTAATATGAAAGCAGAAATTAATATTAACAAAATGTAATGGAATAATAATAGTGGAGGCAATCAATTCATGAAATTCTCTTAAAACAAAACAAAACAATATAGAAAGAATGAATGGAAGTTTTGTTACATAACTGATAAATGATATGTGATTACATAAGTGAAAACAAGTTTCTCATTTATGATAAACTATTTCTAATGAAAAGTAAATAGAAACTATTCAAATGAGTTTTTTATTGTTCTTGGTTGTTATTTATTTATTTTTTTCTTTTCTTTTTCTTTTTCTTTTTTTTTCAATACAAAACTAAAAATTACTACGATATGATACAAAATAATTAAAGAAAAAAAAAGGAGAAGGCAAGAAAAAAATGTTTCTTCTAAACAAAAACAAAAACAAACTCAATTTGAATCAGCACAAAATTATTTTGAATTCAGTAGTATGAGAATATTTAAAAAATAAATTGTCAATTATACATTCCTGTATTAGACAGCAGTTTAAGTGAATTTATCTTATTCTTTTGTTTGTGTTATGTCTTAAAAGAAACATCTTCATATTCAGGTGTTATTGATATGGTCTTCAAGAAAAGATTGAAAGACAATAAATATAATTAATCAATTGTATATATTCGATGTAGAGGAAAATAAAGATGAACAGAATTATTTTGTAATAGCTGAAGATGGTCGACAATCAAGTTGAGAACATGAAGGAGAGGTGGAAATCTTTCCATTAAGTAATTCATGCATCTCTTTAGCTATATTATAAATATGTGTAATAGTTGGTCTATTCGTCGGTTCTTTTTGTATACATACAGTGACTAATTCACGAAGCTGTAATGATAAAATATAGTTTTGATGTGAATTAAGATAAAGATGTACAACTTAAAATTATCAAGCAATTAAATTGCTTATAAGAGCTTAATAAATAAATAAAACTATGTGATATAGAGTGCCAACCAGAAGTAACTCAATGAAAAGGTCAATCGTCAGCAATCAGAAGTGATATGAAGGTCAATATATATATATATGGATGACTATTCGTTCATCTTATTCGGTAGTCCAATACAATTTCTCGCTCACTCGTGTGTTCTCACTCAAGTAGTCAGTCGGGGGACTAGCACATAGCATACCATGTGACTGATCACTTAGATAGGTGGCCGCATTGCACCTTGGTCGACAGAATTCGATTTGAACTGAGAAGGACCTGATATACATGACATTGACCACTCGGCGGTCCGGATAGCTGAATGGTAACGCTTTTGACTGTGAAGCTAGGTGACACGGGATCGAATCCGTCGGGGAGCATCAGTTTCCTTGAGGTTACAGTATTAGATTCTGGACACCGGACATCACAATACTTTATGTTATTGAGTTTTCAAATGTTAGATAGCTTTTACTATCAATTGTTTTTTATTCAAGTTATTCCGATCTATGCTAACAGTTATCTCTAATGACGATTTGTTCATAAATAAGGTAACAGCAAAATAGTTGGAATTACAGCTTTACTCAACAGTGCATTTCGAAGAAACTCATATTTTCAATTCACGAAATAGGCTTTGACATATACTATAATTTTTGTAAATTATATCGAATCTTATGAAGATGCCTACTACTTTTAACTTTGATATCATCGTGTATTATTGATGTTAAGATAATTATATGTATCATCTAAATTAATGATTATCAGAATATATTGGATTCAAACATTGTAAGATTGAAAACAGTTTTAAGTCAGTCTCTACAAGATCCCTGATTTACTAGTATTCAAACGTTTAATCTTATCGAAAATTCCATGTGGTCTAGTGGGAGAATGTCAAATACATTTCAAATATCTCAGAACAATGACTGATATAATTGATGACTATTAAATGCTAGTCACTGTTCTAAATTTATTCTACTAGATGGAGCATGAATGTTCTTGGTTTAGTTTCCGGAGAATTTGAAGTTACTCACTTCTAGATATTCTCAAATGTGGATAAAATAGCTTGTTTCTAACGTCTCTCCAGGTTCTGTCAATTTTCGGTAAAAACCATTTTACAACTATAAAAGCGTTGGAAATCTTTCTGACATTAATTAAGTGGTGGTTGATATAAAATCACACTGATTAGTCATTAGGTAGTTACGATTAATTAATACTGGGCCCAATCAAACCCTTAGGAGTCCTTTCTAACATATGGAATGCAACAGAATCATTTGTCACACTCTCTAGAATGCTAAAGTTACCGCAACTAGTATGGGGAAACTAGAGCCTTACGTAAAAATAGGGTGTATATATTTGCTTACTATTATCTGACTCCTCATTGAATTTAAATTAAAAACCTTTATTACTGAATAATTTTAGTGTAAAATAATCTTCTGAGTAGAGTATGTCCTCAACGAACTTATCTACAAGCGTTAAGTGAATCATAATCTGAAGTACCATACACACATTAAGAAAGGATCTTACTTATAAAGCAATAGCCTAGTACATAAAAGTGCATTAACAAAATAAACTAACTTCAGCTGAATAAATTT